CGGAGAGGAATTCTCAGGAGCGTATCGTTCAACGCGAATACAATTCTCCAAGCAAATTAAACGATACATATAAACGTAATTCCTTAAAAACAAGAACGTATCTGGTCGATTATCAATTTCATTCCTTCCATGTGTAATGTATAGATCACGCGTATTTCAAAGAAATGAAAAAATATTTCTTTCTTGCGATCATCATACATTTCACATACGTGATTTAAATTTAAAATAAAACAGAAAAAATATAAGAGAGAGAGGGGGAGGAGGAAAAAGATAAAATAGTAAAATTTCTTTGCATATCCTAATAAATTTTTGTTCTTAAAGAATTACCATCAAATTTGTATGAAAATTGAATTTGATCTTGATCTTAGATCGTGTTAAAAATTTTTTTTATTTATTTATTAGTATATTTAGGGAACGATATTCTCCTGATTTAAATATACCATACTCCGTAGATCACATTTAATATGTATATATATATATATAGATGTGTGTGTCGTGTGTATAATATATATATACATATATCTACAAAATATTATGATATGATTACAAGTTCTAATTGCTTAAATCTACTCCTTTTTTCTTTTTTTTTTTCCTCTTTACCTTACGCGTTAGGTCCTGCTCACTATTTTGAAATGAAAATTCCGAAATATATTTCATTATCGGATAAAATCGCGATATAACTGTTTATTCTACCGTAAAACCTATTCTTTTGTAATCTTATATGTATATATAATTACACAATAATGGTAATTAATAATAATAGTAGTAGTAATAATAATAATATATTATCAATAGTAATAGTAACCATCTTATTATAATTCATAATAAAAAAATACAAGAATGTGATGTAGAAACAATTTTACAATCCTCCCAATGGTTGGACGTTTAAAAAAGAAAAAGAAAAAAAAAAAAAACAAGAAAAAATAAAGAACGAAAAAAAGTATAATATCGATAAGTCGTGGAAACAGAACACAATATCGTGAATAGGAATTGAAAAATAATAAACGAACGATCCATTATCGTCAACGCAACGATCATCGAGCACGTAGTTTTAATTATAGTGCATCTATGTTTTTTTTTAATTGTCCTTTGTTTTCTTAAATTTTTCCCTTAACTCGTTAGTTAGTACCTTTTTTTCTCATCGATATACACATATCCTACGATTGATAAGTTATAGTTTTTCTCCCATTCTGAGAAACTCTTGTCAAATAGCAACGCACAACGTGATATATACGTGGTTATTTCTTATTTTTCATCCGATTTTTTATTCGCTATCATTCTCACTCATATTTTTTTTTTTTTTTTTTTTCTTTAATCCTTACGTTATACTCTTTTCTATTTATCTCAGCAATCAACAAGGATCCTCGCTTTTGCGTACTGAGCCCCTTAGAACGATGTACAACTTATTCTCTAGTTGTATTGTAACAAATATTGCCTCGAATATAAACACTTTTTTTGTCACCTTAATTCCCTTATATAAGTTTATAATTCTCGTTATTATTTTTTTTCTTTTTTTTTTTTGTTTGCGTAAGTTAGGTCTCTCTCTCACGATCAATGGACAAAAATGGCGAATTATTTTATTTCTCGCTCTCTCTATTTCTCTCTCTCTCTCTCTCTCTC